AATGTAGACTGGGAGTCCTGCAAGCCTAAATATACGGAGATAGCCGACTTATTTCAGGCGCAATATCCGAGGACCCCGACTGAAAAAGATTTCCCTCACGAGAAGAACACAATTTCACAGGGCCAGCTTACAGCGAAACTAAAACAGGTACAAGGGGACTTGTTCGACATGGAAGAGTCGTCGCCCGGACCAAGTTCATCCCCGAGTTTGGAGCGTTCCACGGATTCGCCAGAGTCGAGTAGATCCAACGGAACTCTGCCAACTGCTGCGGTTGTGAGTCATCGCAGGGATCTGCTCCAGGTATGTTCATGATTTCAATCTTAAAGGGCTTGCTATATACTATGATGCAGTACCTTCCACTGAAAAACTGAACCGGTTTAAGCTTGGTAAAATTAGAAAGTATTTAGAGCTGTTTTATTTGTAAAATGTATTGAGAGCTATTTCACAACATGCCTTTTGTGTTCTGTTATCTGGTGGCTATGGTCCTATTGTGTATTAATTCAAACTTTCTCTGGTTTATTATAGGCACGGCTGGACGGCCACAGAAGTGACCGCATGAAGAGGAAGCTTCCAGCTGAACATGCGGTGCAGGAAGAGCTGCGATTAAAAAGCCGGATGTTGGACTTAATGGAGGAAGCAACCAGCCGCAGCGCAGCCAGCATGGATCGTATGAACAACACCATGGACAACATTAATGTGACTGTACAGAATGGCCTTTCCCTGATGAGCCAGTTCATGCAAGTTCATACTAACAACAGTGGATATGGACACTTCCAGGTGCCCTCATACCCACCCCGAAGGCCACACACGGCCACACCAAGATTAAACCCCTCTGTACCACACACCCCACAGCAACAATCTCCTCCATATTCATTCAGGCGGTCACTGGATGAGGAGGAGCAGTAAAGCAGTGAGCTTCTTTTTTTTTCACAGCACTTTTTGGTCAAAGGAAGTCTGTAAACATTTTTATTTTTAACTCCACCAGACTTTGTACAAATGGAGAATCACTTTTTTTTTTAGCTAGCAAAGGTATTTTTTTCCCTTTTACTGTGTACACATTTATAAATAATGTTATTAATAAAAAACCTTATTAAAATAAAAGAACAGTCTTGTCTTTCATGTAAGGGTCAATGTACTCCGCAAGCACTCTCCTCACTCTCTTTCCTTCTCCCTCATTACAGTCAGTGAGATATCTATATCAGTGTGTGGGAGGCTGTAAGTCCTTTTCACCTTGTAAACCTAATTTTGACTAAATACACCACATTTATGAAAAGTAACCCCCCCCCTAGTGTCAAATATCTGAACTGTGATATGTCACATTGGGCCTTAATGGTAAAGCCCAAACTATTGTTAGGCATATATTATAGTCTCATATATATAAAAAAACATGTCTATGAAGTGTTTTGCTCAAAATACCAAATAAATTACCCATTATAGCCTCATTCCCTTCTATTTCATCTCTGGAATCAATATGATCAGTATTATGCATTTCACAAAGAAAGTTTGCATTATGATTTTTATGAATTGTATAAATTCAACTTTGATTCAACATTTGCTTATATTACTTTTACTGAAAATCCTCAAATATTGGTTAAAATACTATTTAGAGAAGGGAAGGTAACACAATCTTAACAGGTTAATATAATAGTTTTTTACTACAGTGTATGTACTATGTTTCACTAGTGACCAATACAGTCTGAAAATACCATATCAAAATGTACGGTTCTTTTACTATATGTGTAAATAAATACGGTACAAAATATATATGGACAACCTGACTCGGTAGAATGGGCCATATAACTTCATTCATGAGGATGATGACATTTGTTGCACATTAAGTTCAAAGAAAGTCTGGAAGTGGTTGCAGCCAATTTTATTTTTAGTTTCACACTTTTGACATTGGAGAATCACATAGTTATTTGCTTAGTTTCACACATGTGACATGCATTAAAAAGTACTAAAAACAGTTAGGATATAATACAAAAAATCCTGTAACAGTCCTCAGATTTAGCAGCCAGGTACATATACCTAGCCAGGTATATGAATATTGTACAGCAGCCTGTCGCTGAAGGAGCTGCACAGTGAGGACAGGGAATGTAACAAAGAATGTTTATCACATCTTAATAAACACCTTTAAAAAAAATGTACAGTCTATGTACATACATGGTATGGCCTCCTCTTCGTCCACAATCTGTTTTTTCAGAGCAGGGATCTTTCCAGTTTTTAAGTACATGTTTAGCTTGGAATTAGCAAAGACCCGTGCATCATGCACACTCCCAGGCCACTTTACCACGACATCCATGAATCGGTACCTGTAATCACAGACAGCCTGTACATTAAAGGAATATTTTCCTTTCCTGTTGATGTAACTAGTGGAGTCGTTAGATGGCTGCTTGATTTCGATGTGGGTTCCGTCCACTGCTCCTAAACATTGTGGCATGCCATGTGTACAATGGAACCCCTCAACCAGATCCGCGGTCTCGGGCTCAGTAAAAGGCAGCTTGATGTATTTTGGACCCAGGTGGATGGTGATCGCTCTGCATGTCTCCCTAATAATGAGGGACAAAGACGGGCGGGAAACTCCGAAGGCGTTAGCAGTCTTCCGTAGCCTTCCCTCGTCGCTCAGGTAATAAAGAACCGCAGCAACCCTTTTCAGTGGATCAATTGGCGCCCTCATGTTTGTAGTTTTCTTCTCGATATATGGGCGCAGTTCTTCAGTCAGGGCAACGACAGAGGCTTTGGACATGCGGAAGTTCTCCCTCCATTCATCGTCCACGACAACGCCATTGACAAAATTGTCCCACCAACTGCTAGTTCTGCCCGGTCTTACCCAAAACTTTCTCCTGGTCGCCCTTCTGGTTGTTCTCCGCGGTGGATTTAGCCACATGTCGTGTATGTGGTTCTTCATGTCCACTAGTTGCTTGTGGTTGTCGTAGAAGCACCGTAGTTGTAGCACTAACATATTAATCATGGTCAGTAGCGTCTGGAGCACAACAGCAACCCTGTGATCCGCCATTCTTGTTGTTGTTGTTGTAGAAACAAATCAGCAATGAGGCGGGGGAGAGGTGGGAAGAGGCGGGGCTGTCGTTATTTTTTCAGGCAATATTCGTATAGAGGCGATTAAACGGACTCGGTTGACCCCCCAGAGCGTTTCGTTTGCAAATCTATCCACCTTGGGACCCGTTATCGTTTGTGTGGTCAGTTTCTATCGGCCTCGTCTAAATAATAGGGCTATACGCACGCGAAACTATGCAGATACAAGCAGTTTTCTCCTCGTGTAAACGGCGCCTGAGTAAGAAAAAGGTTTATAACGTTGTGAGAATGGGTCTGCAGAGAGCATTCCTCCGCGATCCCAACTTAGCAGCCCGAAAAACGTTTAGCCATTTAAACAGTCGTAGTATACCTTGTTTGTTTTAAACATCATAAATACACAAACAACAATGAATACTTACAGGTTGTGTACCCGAATCTCCCGCTGGTCCAAACAAAGTAGGAACAGCATCGTTCTTCAGTGCCCTACGCTCAGGGGCGCCGCCAGGGATTTTGGGCCCCATGAAAAGATATCACATTGGGCCCCACCACCAGGCCCAGGCCACGCCAACCAAGCACAATTGCTGTAACCACACCTCCAGAACCCAACCGACTCATTTATGCTTTAAATAACTCTACCAGTACAGGCTTGCATCTATCTTGTAGTCCAATACTAACCGCACAATATTTACTGACACTGAGCTGTGAAAATATAACACTGTGCAGACGTGCAACATTCTGCTGCAGTAGAATTCACTATTTGATATAAGACTAACATTCCTGACAATAGATCTCAATAGTCATCTTTTATGGTGTAAATGCCTTTTTAATAATAACATTTTTGAATGGAACATTCTCAACATGAATGCATGAATCCAAATAAATATAACTTAAATACTGTGTTTGAAATGTGTAATTGAAATTAGATGTTAGCTTTTTGTTTTGATATATATATATATATATATTTTGTATTCCAGTCTCCCTTCAAATATGTTAAGTGGCATGTCATTCAACACAATGCTGCTCACCTCCTTCAGTTGGGAGAAAAGCTGGTTCAGGTTCAGCCTTATGGGGGGACAGGGCTGCTGAGCCTAGAGATGGATCTGTTGGTCCTGGCACCAGGGGGAGGGACAACTGGTTTAGTATGAATAGCTGCTAAAAATGTACCTGCATTTATTAAATGTCAGCTAAAAGAGCAGTGAAATGAAAAACTTCTGAATTTTCTGTGAAGATATTAACAGTACTTAATGTCAGCTTAGTACATTATTATTTACAATGGACTACGCTTAGCTAACAGACTAATTTCCACCACTCATGGACACCCACCTTTTCTTTTGAAAAACTGGGTGACATACTGTCGCCCTTTAGTCCCTCTCTCTTGTCTTTCTCTCCTTTCTTTTTCTTTTTTGAAAGCCTGACTTTTTTAGTCGTTGAGACATCGTACACACATAATGTATGGAGGACGGAACATGACATAAGTATAAATAAATAAATGTGTAAATAAATGTATGAAGAAATACAGGAATAAATAAATAAATAAATACGGAAATAAATAAATGAGGAAATAAATACATAAATAAATAAATGTGGAAATTAATACACAAAAAATAAATAAAATAATAAATAAATATGGAAATAAATACTTGAATGTATAAATAAATACATAAAAGTCGAAAATAAAACAGAACACACTTTATTATATTATCTTTAATATATTTCTACATTTACGGTTACTTTTATTTATTTATGTATTTCTGTGAAATGCTGGCAGAGGGTGTGGCCTCTGGGTATCCCCACGTCAGAGTACCCAGGAAGTAAACAATGGAAAATGAGAAATCTCCAAGGAGGCGTTTTGGGGCAGCATAGACTGTGTTAGAGTTTTACTCGCTACAGGGTGTACTTTGAGGGTTTTTGACTCTGCAGACCGTTTACATGCATACAAACCTTCATAACACACAAGGGGACGGGTAATAACCAGAAAAGCATGACATGGGCCCTTTAATAAAAAAAAACATTGTGTTTATGGACACATGGGAGATCTTTTTTGCGTGAAATGTTAAACAGCTTGTGTTTAATAGCCACTATTTTATTTAACGCTCTCCTAGCTCCAATATTAAAACAATTCCACCACGGAGAGACTAAGACATCAGTAACAAACAAACAAACTGTATACAGAATTTCTAATATAAGTTCTGAGAACATGCTGCTGTGACAGGAAAGCATTTTAATGACAGGAAGTGAGTTCTCTACAGCCAGTCAGATCTAAGGGGTTGCGAGGCCTCCAGCCGTTAGAGCTGTGATTGATCGGTGGTCCGCTGACTGTTGTCCAGCTCCAGGAAGTCGTCCTGAGAGGAGAAGATGTCGGACAGCAGGTAGCAGCTCTCCTGCTTCGCCTCCTGTTGAGCATCCTGTCGGCGCTTGCTCTTCCTCAGCTGCTCCTGCAGGAGAGGAGTCACCCTCAGGTGCAGGAAGTCTATGATCTCTGCAACAGAAAGTGACATCAGGGGCATCATTTATAAAGTGATATACGCTCAAAAAATGGCGTACGCCAGTTTCTACGCAATGTTTGCGATTTATAAAATACTAACATGACGGGAAAATGTGCGGTCCTCCACGCAAACTCTAACCCATGCGTACGCACTAAGCACAACAACGGGAGAGACGAGAAACTGCGACACCGTTGGCAGAAGGAAGAATGGAGAGAAATATGTGGAAATAATACCATAAATAAAATGTTACCTCTCATTTATCAAATATGAAGAATTCATTTTCAAACATTGATTAAAGCCAATCTTAAAATGATTAAACAAACGCCTGTTTGAGACTCCTCAGTGCACACAAACACATAACTTGGAGAAATAAATAAATACGGATATGTTATTTAAAACCACCTCGAATATGTTGTGTCAATGTTATGAAATGTTTTCTCATAAATGATGCGGTAAGCAGGAGGACAGAATTACGTCTAAACTGACGCCGTTTTGCATTTCTATAGGTTGTAGATACGAGCATGGTTTTATATACTATCACGTTTAATCGTGTTTTATGCCGTTTGCCAAGACTTGATAAGTCGCTCGTAAAACACAGGAGGTATGGAAACTAAGAACACCATATGTGGTAAATTGTACAGCTAATATAACACAACACATTAGTTGTATTTCATTTAACTGGTGGATTATGGATATATAGTTGCTGATCGACAGCTGGAACACAAACCACCAAATACAACAAAATAATTCAGATCCAGTCGTCATGACTCCACTCCGGAGGGATTCCCCGATCATTTCTTACAGTTTCTCATCAAGGGGGTGTCTCCTGTCCCCGGGACAAACACACTGCCTGAGGAAGGTTATGTGTATTTTTTTTGTCATTAACTTTTTTCGGACCACTTATTTATTTATTTTGGTGACGATCCGACCTCCATGCTGCTACTCTGGTTCAAACTGCATCCACCAAACAATATGATTTATCTCCACCTCCCCACAATAATCCAAATCTGACACGGTGTGAGATGTCTTTTTTAGCTGTTCGGTCGTCATTTCCTGCGATCTTCTTCATGCAGTCAGTCAAAATGAATGAATGAATGGGCGTTTCTTTGACTATTTATAGGCAAATATGGGCGTTACGAGTTGATTGTGATTCATAAAGGGAAACAGGCGTAGGGAGTGCCGTACGCACTTCCCTCGCCGGTACGCAATGTTTTGTGAATCGGAAAATGTCGGAACATTTCTGTACCTATTTTTTTGCTTTGTACTACGTAAGCAACCTTCCCACGTCAATCCTACGCAAGGCGTTATGAATGAGGCCCCAGGTGAGGAGGACATCATGGTAGCTTAACTTAAATCAACTCAAACCGTTCATGCAGTACTCTGTGATATATATTGCAGTACTCTGTGATATATACATTACATTACATGTTACTTGTTAGACGCTTTTATCCAAAGCAATCCCCACAGGAGCAATTTGGGGTGAAGTGTCTCAGGGACACAAGGACATGCTGACTGCAGTGGGGTTTGAACCTGTGACCATCTGCTCCCCAGACCAAGGCGCCACACGCCTCCCATATATTGCAGTACTCTGTAATATATACTGCAGTTCTCTGTGATATACAGTGAAGGATTAATAATTATTTGATCCCTTGCACATTTTGTATGTTTGCCCACTTACAAAGAAATTAACAGTCTGTCATTGTCCTGCTAGAAGACCCATCCATGACCCATTTTCAGTGTCCTGGCTGAGGGAAGGAGGCTATCGGCCAAGATTTTACGGTTCATGGCCCCGTACATCCTCTCCTCGATGCAGTGAAGTTGTCCTGTCCCCTTAGCAGAGAAACACCCCCAAAGCAGAATGTTTCCACCTCCATACTTGACGGTGGCGATGGTGTTCTTGGGGTTAAAGTCAGCATTTCTCTTCCTCCATACACGGCGTGTCGATTTGATGTCAAAGATCTCGATTTTGGTCTCATCTGACCACATCATCTTCTCCCAAGCCTTCTCTGAATCATTCAGATGTTCATTGTCAAACTTCAGACGGGCCTTTCATCGGCCTTCTTGAGCGGGGGACCTTGCGGGCGCTGCAAGATTTGATCCATTATGGTGTAGTGTGTTACCAATAGTTTTCTTGGTGACTGTGGTGCCAGCTGCCTTGAGATTATTAACAAGTTCCTCCCGTGTAGTTCTTGGCTGCTACCTCACCTTTCTCATTTAGTGGGAATGCTGATACAGCATTCCCACTATCTGTTATGCTATGCACGAAATTCTTTATTATTCCGCCAGGTTATTTTGCACCTCTTCTTCTCCCACATTCCACATCGCAGAAACTCCGTTCAAACATCAAAACGTTCAGCTCGGTCGGGAATCGATGGCTATTACTTTTCTTATTCATAACTTTCATAATTCCAGTGATACATCCCATAATTCATCAAATTTTTAACATGGAAGTCAATGGAGAAACTCTTCAGACTTGAACAATCTTCATGCAACTTCAACTGCTAACTGCTCCTTCATACTTTCACTCAGAAACCTCATTCCAATTTTAAAATGTTACACATCTTTCTGACATTATTCATGTAACACAACTTTTAAATCTGATTCATACTTTTACAGATATTAAACATTGTTCAGACCTTGGTAAAAAGGCCTTCTTCAGATTTTAGAGTGCGTGATGTCACAGCTAGAGTGGAGGACAGATTTAATTTTGCCTTCATATTTTCTTTTAAACCTGCCATAATTCCCAAACCCTACATTCCTGAGACATCATATTTCATGAGAAACGTAGGAAAACATCTCGTAGCTTGAGAAATTAAAAAAGATTAAGCAAAAATAATTAAACAAAATGCCTCTTGAGGGCATGAAGTGACAGAAACTTTCAACATGTCTCCATTAAACCCCATTGTAAGTTCAGCCTCATCCCCACCACCACAGCAGCCACACACTTTAGTTAAACTGCCAAAAAGGCCACATTATTAACCCGAAAGTACACAAAAAGTACACTTCAGATGCTGAAGTACCTTGACATGCTTCACGCTTTGAAATTTCACCGATATGTTACGGTTCTTCAACAAAACGTTCACATGTAAGAGGTTTATCTCATTCAGAACAATGAAAATGCTCTCCTCTCACTGATCACCATGGAAACCTTTGATCTCTGGACACGTCGTTAGCTCAAATATAAACACCTGTGTCATGGAACATGATGATGTCATAACTCCAACTGACATGCTCAGAGCACCAGACTTCAGATAATGGTTAACGGTCCAGCCCTCAACAGCTCTACGTCAATTATGGGGTGTCATCATATGCCGTTTCCATGGAAACGCAACCCTCGCCATAAAAGACGATGTTGCTATAACTCCTATGAAAATGTTCAAAAAGTGCTCAAACTTCACGTGTGCTAACAGTCCAGCCGTGAAGACATCTACGAGACAGTTTTGAGATTTCTTCAAATGCCGTTGCCATGGCAACACAATGCCCACCATGAAACACGGTTTTCTCATAACTTCAATGAAAATGCTCCAAACGGCCCAAAACTTCACAGGTTTGGTAACGATGCAGCCATTAACACATCTAAGCGTATTATGGGATGTCATCAAATGCCGTTGGCATGGTGACAGATCATTCGCCATCAAGTTAGTTCAAAAGTTTGCAGTTCAAATATTCTGCTGCTTTTCCAAGCCTTTTTACTTTATTTTCTTCTCTCATCACACATTCAAGCCCCCAGTGTTCATGTATCATTTCAATCTAAATTATTCACTTTCTTCTTACACATTACATTTCAGCATAGCAGTTTAGCGTCAGCTTTTCAGCATAAAGCATTCCCACTAGCAATTTCTTCAGGAATTGCATTCTCTAGTTATCATTAATACCCTATGGGGCGAGACCTTGAGTTGAGCCCCAGACCGATTGATGGTCATTTTGTGTTTCTTCCATTTCCAAATAATCGTACCAACAGTTGCCTCCTTCTCACCAAGCTGCTTTCTGATGGTCTAGTTGCCAATTCCAGCCTGGTGCAGGTTTGCAATCTTGCCCCTGAGGTCTTTAGACAGCTCTTTAGTCTTGCCCATGGTGGAGAGGTCAATTTTTATCTTTTATCTAATTTCTGGATTTCCTTTTTGATATTCTGTCTCTCATTAGTAAAACAAACCTACCCTTAAAATGATAGACTGGGACTTCCGGTTTGGGACGGCATGGAGTACAAGCAACGTTCAGGCACTCCTGCTTACTTTTAATCTTCTCACCCCTTAACCTCTCATTTGCCCAACTAAATTGCTTCAAGTCATATATTACCCCTTTATATACTAATATTTACTCCCAAATGGCTTCAAAGACCGGTAACCACGGGAAAAAGGACGTCTCGGCGGCGACAGCTAGCTTAACGGTTGAAGCTATCTCTTTGCTACTGGACCAGCATCGGGAGGCGCTAACAGCGGACTATAAAACCTATTTTAGCACACTTGAAACTACATTTGACGAGGTCCGGTCTACAGTCGAGGATCACGGACAGCGTCTATCCTCTCTGGAGCTAATTTCTGATGACCTGAGTCAGCGTATTAACGAGTTGGAAGATGTCTGCTCGAGCCTGCGGGATAACAACTCCAAGCTCACTGCTAAAGTCAACGAGCTGGAAGGTCTTAGCAGACGACAAAACGTACGCATCCTCGGTCTATGCTCACACCAAAGACCCAAATGTATACAAAAAGAGGGTGGAGTTACAAACTGAATTTGATCTCTTTTCGACACATCCAATTGAACGCCACAACTTGTAAAGAACAAAAGTTGGTTTTATGCTCATGGGGAAAAATCTGGTAAGCTGCTGGCTAATCAGTTGAGAAAATACAAGGCTAAGCAGTTCATAACTCAAATTGCAAAGGAGGATGGCAGTATCACCTCAGACCACACCGCCATTAATGACACGTTCAGGAACTTGTATTCTGGGCTCTACTTTTCTGAATTTCACAATGATAACAATTTGATGGAAGGTTTCTTAAACAACTTAAACATCCCCAAAATCTCTACTGAACTGACTGGAGCAGCCTATTTCGCAAGCTGAAATAGCTATAGCTATCTCCTCCCTACAGTCTGGAAAATATCCAGGACCCGACGGGTTCCCTGCAGAGTTCTTCAAAATGTTCTCTTTACTGATTTCTCCTTAACTCAGTTTAGTTCTGTCAGAATCTTTCAAACAAGGCAAACTTCCCTCATCATTTTATGAAGCAACCATCACTCTTATTGCAAAGAAAGGTAAAGTCCCGATTGAATGTTCCTCCTATAGGCCTATCTCTTTATTAAACGTTGATGCCAAAATTCTGGCTAAAGTTCTGGCCCGAAGATTGGAGAACATCTTGCCAACAATTGTCTCAGATGACCAAACTGGTTTTGTCAAAAAACGCCAATCATATTTCAATACACGTTGTTTATTTAATATTTTGTACTCTCCCTCTGATACAGTTCCTGAGTGTGTTATTTCCTTGGATGCTGAAAAGGCATTTGACCGCGTGGAGTTAAAGTATTTATTTGAACTTTTGGAAAAATTGAATCATTTTAGACTGAACTTCATTGCTTGGATTAAGTTATTGTACTTGTGCCCTAGGGCATCGGTCCTCACAAACTCAATACAATCAAAGCCTTTCAACCTCCAACTAGGCACTCGTCAAGGTTGCCCCTTAAGCCTGTTACTTTTTGATCTGGTCATGGAGCCACTGGCAATCTCACTTCGCAGTAGCAAAAGATATTTCTGGGATTTGGAGGAGTGGGGTTGAGCATAGAGTGTCCCTTTATGCGGATGATCTCTTACTTACTGATCTCATATCGGACCCAGCTACATCTTTGAACAAAGCCCATCTTCCAAAATCTAAAACGAGTGGAGGCATGTCACTGCCTAATTTTCGTTTTTTACTATTGGGCAGCCAACATACGTTGTATTACGTTTTGATCTCATTTTCACAATCAGGCCGATTGTCCGTCCTGGGTGGCTATGGAGTTGAGTTCCTTCAAAGGACTTTCCATCTTAGCCCTGCTCGGATTTTCACTCCCTCTCCCTCCCAAAAACGTGGGTTGTAATCCGGTTGCTAGATACACATTGAGGGTGTGGGCTCAGTTCAGAAAACACTTCAGCTTTCATGGTTTCTCTCTCTTGAGACCTATTCTATCCAACCACCTTTTTCAACTGTCTGCATCTGACTCTGTGTTTCGGGAATGGCAGAGGGGGGGTATCACATGTTTTAAGGCTCTTTTTATTAACAACAGCTTTGCTTAATTTGAGCAACTTTCTGAAAAGTTTAGCCTTCCGAACACTAATTTCTTCAGATATCTGCAAATCAGGCATTTCCTCCATTCTAAGATCTCAAGCTTCCCAGAAGCACCCGAGTCGAACATCGCCGAGATGCTTCTTAATTTGCATCCAAGTGGTCTTATTTCGGTTATCTATGACAAGCTGACAGGTATAAGAAATGCTCCCCTCAACAAAATTAAAACTGCCTGGGAGCTTGATTTAAATGTTTCAATACCTGAGGACGTATGGGTTTCAATCTTCAAACTGGTTAATTCCACATCCATCTGTGCCCATCACTGTTTGCTACAGTTTAAAGTTTTGCACAGGGCTCATATGTCTAAAGCTAAATTGTCCCGGATCTACCCAGATGTAAGCACCTACTGTGAAAGGTGTAAAATAAATGAGGCCACCCTGGCACACATGTTTTGGACATGTCCTAGCCTAGAGAAATATTGGAAGGACATTTTCAATACTTTATCTGTTATCCTTGATCAAAAGCTGGACCCTCACCCTCTAGTTGCACTCTTTGGCACCACTGGAGAGGATGATACACTCAGTACTCTGATATATACTGCAGTACTCTGTGATATACACAGAACAAAAATATTAACACAACTCTTTTGTTTTTGCTCCCATTTTTCTTGAGCTGAAATCAAAGAACTAAGACTTTTTCTATGTACACAAAAGGCCTATTTCTCTCAATTACTGTTCACAAATGTATTGTCTGTATTAGTGAGTACTTCTCCTTTGCCGAGATAATCCATCCACCTCACAGGTGTGGCATATCAACATGCTGATCAGACAGCATGATTATTGCACAGCTGTGCCTTAGGCTGCTCACAGTACAAGGCCACTCTAAAATGTTACTTTTATCACACAGCACAACACCACAGATGCTGCAAGTTTTGAGTGAGCGAGCAATTTGCTGATGACAGGAATATCCACCTGAGCTGTTGCCAGTGAATTTAATGTTAATTTCTCTACCATCAGCCGTCTCCAAAGGCGTTTCCGAGAATTTGGCAGTACATCCAACTAGCCTCACAACCACAGACCACATGTAACCACATCAGGGGAGCCCATCTGCATGCTATCGTCATCTCCGGGTTCTTGACCTGACTGCAGTTCGTTGTGGTAACTGACTTGAGTGGGCAAATGCTTACCTTCGTTGGCGTCTGGAACTTTGGAGAGGTGTTCTCTTCTCTGTGAATCCCGGTTTTCACTGTACAGGCAAGATGGCAGACATGTGGGTGAGCGGTTTGCTGATGTCAACGTTGTGAATCGAGTGGCCCCTGGTGGGTGTGGGGTTATGGTATGGGCAGGTGTACGACAACGAACACAGGTGCATTTTATTGATGGCATTTTGAATGCGCAAAGTGACCGTGACGAGATCCTGAGGCCCGTTGTTGTGCCATGTTGCAAGAATCTGTACACAATTCAAGCTGAAAACATCCCAGTTCTTGCATGGCCTGTTTCCTCACCGGACATGTCACCCATTGAGCATGTTAGGGATGCTCTTGATCGGTGTATACGCCAGTGTGTTCCAGTTCCTGCCAACATCCAACAACTTCGCACAGCCATTGAAGAGGAGAGTAAAACCCATGAGGCCTGACATGGTCATATGGTCGGAGGAGGAAGATCATCATTATTGAGCTGACAGCCCCTTGGAAATACAGGTGCGAAGAGGCCTCGGAAAGGAGGGTTAAGCCATTAAGTACCAGGACCTGGTCCATCAATGCAGGGACAAAGGGTAGCAGACCTGGCTATATCCAGTTGAAGTTGGCTGCAGGGGCTTCCCGGTGCAATCTGTGTGAAAGATGCTCACAGCTCTGGGACTAGCAGGAAGGGAGCTAAATACAGTTGCTCGTAGGTTAGGGGAAGCAGCAGAAAGAGCCTCTTGTTAGCTCTGGAACAGACGGGAGGAGTTGTGCAGGAAGCCAGGGGAGGATGGGCAATGGGACGTGGTGATTCAGGGTGGAAACCAGGGCTCTCGGCTAACTTCTTTCACCATCCTCCCGGAACCGTCCCGAAATACAATCTAAGCCGTCCCGAAATTAATGTGGACCGTCCCGAATTTAAAATATTAGTTTTTCTACATTATCATTAGTTAAAATCATTCAAAGTGACCTTTAACATAAATAAAACATCATACAAATCATTAGATGATAATTCATCAACCTTTTTAATTGAGTAAATCAGTCAAACACATAAACAAAGGCCAAATATATTTAAAAAAAACACACAAGCGAGAAAGTTACTCTAATATTGAATCCAATCAAGTTCTATCCAATTATCAAAAACATCCAACACTCTGTCCTGAAGACAGAAGACAGAACCCAGAGTAACCACTAACCAGGATGACAGTCTGTAACACAGTCAGGAGACCTTTACAAACTGCCCCGCCCCCTCGCACACAGACGGGGGAGAGAGCTCTCTCGTCTGGATTGGAAAGATCGAAAATAAGATCGAAAATACATCATAGACGCATTTTGTAGACTTATTGCATATTAGAAACGGAGTTGGCGAAACTAAAACTGCGATATAATGTTCATGTAGCAATAATACATGACATATATGTTTTAAATGTCTCCACTACCGATAAAAAGTCAGATAACGTCGGAGCTTAACGCTACCACTGTCTTTAATAATTCCGGCCCGGGGCCCGTTTAATACCGGGGCTCGGTACCCATCCCTACATGGGGAGAGACGCAGCATATTGCTAAGGACTAAATACGATGGAGAGTTCTCATCTCAGCCTTATTACCCATAGGGGATGAAGAGGAGTTAGTAAATAAAGAGGCCGGCGCTCCAGGGTTAGGTTCTGCTGTGCGTTTTCGTGATGTAACGTAAACAATTGCAGAATTCCTCCACGGGATGCCATTGTCATTGTACATCACTCAACGCGAAATACACACACTCAGTACATAGCTAGACCCAATAATTTGCGGGCCAGGAGTTTGCGGGCACAGCTGTGTGTGTGTGTGTGTGTGTGTGTGTGTGTGTGTATTTCGCGGTTTGCTAAATGTTTTGTGCGTGTGTGTTTATGTTGACAAGGAGGTTTAATAACTGTGTGCTACACAAAACGTGCAGTCAGTTTCATTTTCATCGCCGTTCGTACTGTAGTAGAGTTATCAGGGTATTTTTATTTTAACTCTCGTCCCAAATTCGTCCCAAGATTATTTTTTATCCTCCCCGACCCTATTTTTTTCGGCCCCGGGACGACGGGACGTCCTTAAACTCGAGCCCTGGTGGAAACGCCACCTGACAACATCCTCTCTTTGCCGAAAGCCATAGTTATAAGTATATGACTGAAGGTGTTAGCAGTAGATGTATCTAACAGTGATATATACTGCGGTACTCAGCAGTATTACTGTAGTTCTCCCTAGTATATTAGTAGTATTACTGTAGTACTCAGGTGTATAGCAGTACCTCCGTAGAACAGGCCGCTCCAGTGAGGAACTCTGGAAACCTTCAGTCTGTGGAAACTCTTCTGAACACACATAGGAGTCACCTTCCTGAAACACACACACACACACACACACACACACACACACACACACACACACACACACACACACACACACACACACACACACACACACACACACACACACACACACACACACACACACACACACACACACACACACACACACACACACACACACACACACACACACACACACACACACACACACACACACACACACACACACACACACACACACACACACACACACACACACACACACACACACACACACACACACACACACACACACACACACACACACACACACACACACACACACACACAGTAAGGAGAGACATTGTTACCATGGTTACCACCTGGTCACCTCGGTTACCAGCTCTGTATGGGTGGGTGACAGTTTGAAATTATGACCTCACCCGACAGCATGAGCGACCTCGTCCCAGTCGACATCGCACATGTCCTCCACACGCATGTTGTACAGCCTGAGACACACATCATATTAGAATTTAAATAATTATTATGATTTCTTTTTTTATTATTATTACAATTATTTATCTTTTAAATTAAAAATATCATTATTATTAAAATTATCATTAGTGCTGATCAAACCCAGAATCTGTTTGAAAATAATAGATAAATAATAATTACAGGTCGACAATGATTAGGTGTTTTATTTTGAAAGGGACTCACGTGTTAATGAGGACGATTTTAGCCTCCAGTCCTTCAGGTCCTCTGCTGAATGTGCTCCCACCTGAGGCCAGCTTACCCTTCAGCAGAGAGAACCTGCAACACAGCAGCACTGTTATTGATGTTATTATTAGGGTCTGAGACCAGAGGTCGGCGAAGACCCTATTGTAATCGCTCGCGCAGCTAGTCCGCGCAAGCCCAGTCACGTGAATGCAACTTGCATGCTTGATATCCGTAGGATCAATTTAATCGCTTATTGATATTGGTCCGATTATTAGGGTCTGAGACCAGAGGTCGGCGAAGAGCCTATTGCAACCTTTTTTAGGATGAGAACTACTTTCAAAAAATAAAACAAGTCGGGGGCTACTTTTTTTTTTGCACGACTAGGCTGTTCAATGGGGCTGATGTGTTGTTTAGATTCTGCCAGAAGGAAAATCACGGTCACACTCCTTATGAAGCGGTGAGCTGCCGCTCCACATTGCTTTTCTTCCCGACTGCAACGCTGGTCCCGCAAATCAAGCAAGAACGTGATTGGTCGATATGCATTGTGGCGGTGGGGGGAGGAGGGGTGTTAGATAGATATAGAGTTGTAGTACCCAGACCCAGTGGCAGAGGAGGTGGCACTGGTCTCCTGCTCTCTCCCAAATGGAGCTTTTCCCTCTTCAAGCTACCTAACTTCACTCCTTCCACCTTTGAATTCCATGCCATCACAGTAACCCAGTGGTTCCCAAACTTTTTCAGTCGGGCTCCCCTTGGGTAATTGGAAATATTTTCGGGCCCCCCCAACCCGGTTCCCATCTATATTGGTAGGATTAATTGTATATTGTTGTAAAAACATTACATTTTCTCTGCTAATAATAATAAGATACAAAGATCCAACTATAATTTTATATTTTATTATGGATTACACATGAACAAAAGTGCTTGTAATAGATACTGTGAATTAATTTGATGGCAGCAACAGCAGAAAAGCCTGTCTCACACAAGTCTGATGTTGCAAAAGGCAGCAGTATGCCCACAGCTCTCTGACCAATGAGATATTTTCGAGCAGTGTTTGTTTACAATTTCTTCCCGTGCCCCCCCTGCAGTACCTCAGCGACCCACTAGGGGTCGCGCCCCACAGTTTGAAAACCACTGCAGTAACCCATCCTATACAATTAACCATTGTTGTTCTCTATTGTCCACCAGGCGCCTTGGGGGACTTCTTGGAGGAATTAGATCATCTCCTCTCACACATCCCTGAAACTGGCCCTCCCACTGTACTTCTCTGAGACTTCAACCTCCAGACAGGGAAGATATCTGAACTAACATCTCTTTTAACCGCCTTTGCTTTCTCACTGTCTCCATCCCCACCAACTCATAAAGCTGGCAATGTCCTTGATCTCATATTCTCAAGGAACTGCTCTACTTCTAACCTCTCTGTAAACCCACTTCACACATCCGACCACTCTTTCATTTCATTCTCTCTACCCCTTTCCAAACATAACAAACTAATCTCTTCTAATTCTGCACCTGTCCGCCGTAACCTTCGTTCCCTCTCCCCCTCTACTCTGACCTCATCGGTGCTCTCAGCCCTCCCTTCCTCTGACTCGTTCCAACTCCTGCCTCCAAACTCTGCTGCAGAAACTCTCCTCTCTACTCTTTCATCCTCTCTGGACTCTCTCTGTCCTCTCACATCTCGGCGGCCTCGTCAGTCCCCTCCTGCTCCCTGGCTAAATGACGCACTGCGTGCTAATAGAACCATCCTTCGGGCAGCAGAGCGGAAACGGTGGAAATCCAAACACCGTGACGACCTCCTAACCTATCAGGCTCTCCTCTCCTCTTTCTCTGCTTCGATCTCTCAGGCAAAAAGCACTTTCTTTCAAGATAAGATCCATTCTTCATATTCCAATCCCAAAAAATTATTTTCCATCTTTTCCACCCTCTGTCCTCACATCCCCGGACCCCCAGACTCGGAGGAGCACAGGAATGTCAGTATTGTTTATGAAGCAGGGTATAGAAAGTACACTATTGAAATGAAAATACTATTTATTTACTTTTACAAACAGTGAGCAGCTGCAGCATGTTTATTGGAGGACATGTGTTGGACTGTGTGGTTGGACTCTGTCTCACAGGCAGGTTGCAGTGTAACATCAGAGGAGACTGGGCCAATTGTACATTCTCAAACTGCACCACTTAGAACTAACTAAACAATTATTTTTATATAATTGTATTCAATAACCGTAACAAAATTAAACAGTATGAAGTGATTTATAAATAAGAATACAGATTTGACTTAATGTTTTCATCAATATATTTTTCTTCCAGTTTGTCATGGGACTTATGACCGGAATCGAAAAGCATAACCGGAATCGTTAAAATCCAAACGTTACCCAACCCTATGTGTGATGCAGTAAAATATTACCGTAAAAACCTTGGGAAAATGTAAAATATGATGCCGATCGATTTTTCTGGACAAGTGAAAAATGTATTCGGACAAGTAAATTGCCAAACTCACTTGTCCATGGACAAGTACTCTCTAAAAACTTTTTCTTACACTGTAACTACTTTGAAAAAAAGGTTGATGACATTCGTTCTTCTTTTTCTTACTCACCTTTACTCGCTGCTCACCCACACACTAACCTCCTTTTCCCCTCTCTCTCCAAGTGAGGTTCTTACCCTCATTACCTCTGCCCGTCCTACCACCTGTCCTCTGGACCCTATCCCCTCAAACCTCCTTCAGACTATCGCTCCTGATATTCTACCGTTTCTCACCCAACCCATCAACACTTCTCTAACTTCTGGTCACTTTCCAAACAGTCTCAAGGAGGCAAGAGTAAACCCTCTCCTAAAGAAACCCACTCTCAACCCGTCTGATGTTATAAACTACAGGCCTGTCTCTCTCCTCCCGTTCCTTTCTAAAACACTTGAACTTTAAACAACTCTCCTGTTATCTCCATCAGAACAACCTTCTGGATCCACACCAGTCTGGTTTCAAGGCAGGTCACTCAACAGAAACTGCTCTCCTCGCTGTCTCTGAGGAACTGCACACGGCTAAAGCAGCCTCCCTCTCCTCTGTCATCATCCTTTTGGACCTGTCTGCTGCATTCGACACGGTGAACCATCAGATCCTCCTTCGCACTCTCCAAAAATTTGGAGTTTCAGGCTCTGCATTTTCCCTCCTCACCTCATACCTCAAAAAGCGCTTTCACACCGCAGTACTTTTCCCGCAAATAAATAAAATGGCGGCTTCACAAAACCTTTTGGGAGTTTTACGGGGCGTGGTTTGCAATCCGCCCAGCCAATCAGACATAGGAACCTTTTTCTCCCACGAAAGTACCTGCTCTCTAGCAGGGACGGAAAAAAGGGGGTAAAAAGGTTCTCATGAACTCATTTTATTTCCGGCTCTTTTTGGTGTGAACGCGACATTTCGGAAATATATCGGAACTAAAGTGGGAAAAGTACTGCGGTGTGAACGCGCCTAAAGACCGCACCTACAGGGTAACTTGGAGAGGGTCAGAGTCCGACCCTTGTCAATTAACTACAGGGGTCCCTCAGGGCTCTGTTCTTGGTCCCCTCCTCTTCTCTTTGTACACAAACTCGCTCGGATCAGTCATTAGCCCGCATGGTTTTTCATACCACTGCTACGCTGACGACACCCAATTAATTCTGTCCTTTCCTCGCTCAGAGACCCAGGTCGTCGCACGCATCTCTGCTTGTCTAGCAGACATCTCTCAGTGGATGTCTGCTCACCACCTCAAGCTCAACCTTGACAAGACTAAACTGCTTTTTCTTCCGGGAAAAGATTGTCCCACTCTTGACCTAACAATCAACATCGGCACCTCTGTTGTTTCCCTGACTCAGACTGCAAGGAATCTGGGTGTGACCCTAGATAACAAACGGTCCTTCACTGCAAACATCGCTGCTACAACCCGCTGCTGCAGATACACTCTTTACAACATCAGGAGGATACGTCCCCTCCTGACCCAGAAAGCGACGCAGGTTCTGGCCCAGGCTCTCGTCATCTCACGCCTAGACTACTGCAACTCCCTCCTGGCTGGTCCACCTGCATGTGCCATCCGACCTCTGCAGCTCATCCAGAATGCAGCGGCTCGTCTGGTCTTCAACCTTCCAAAATGTTCCCACACCACGCCGCTCCTCCGCTCCCTTCACTGGCTTCCAGTAACTGCTAGAATCCACTTCAAGACAATGGTACTTGCGTACCATGCTGCGAATGGATCTGGCCCTTCCTACACCCAGGACATGGTTGAACTGTACACCCCAGCACGTGCACTCAGCCAAACGGCTCGCTGCACCAGCACTGCGAGGGGGACCCAAGTTCCCATCAGCAAAAACACGTCTGTTTGCTATCCTGGCTCCAAAATGGTGGAATGAGCTCCCCATTGACATCAGGACAGCAGAAAGCTTACACATCTTCCGGCGCAGACTGAAAACTCATCTCTTTCGACTCCACTTCGAGCGATAGAATTACTAACAAAGAATTACTAACAAAGCACTTATATACTAATAAAGGACTGGCTTATCTAAAGCCAGTTGAGAAGCACTTGAAATGTTTTGGCTCTATGAAACCTCATGTACTTATATGATTCTGTTTTCTTCAAGTTTGTATCTTCTTGGTCGAATGCACTTATTGTAACTCGCTTTGGATAAAAGCGTCAGCTAAATGCAATGTCATGTAATTAGGGCTGTCAGTCGATTAAAATATTTAATCGCATGATTGTCCATAGTTAATCGCGATTAATCGCACATTTTTTATCTGTTCTAAATGTACCTTAGAGGGATATTTTTCAAGTTTTGAATACTCTTATCAACATATGAGTGGACAAATATGCTTTATGCAAATGTTTGTTTATTATCATTTGAACAATGACAAATACTCTCATGAATATTCAGGGTTCTTACACCTTTTCCAAAGTCAAATTCAAGCACTTTTCAAGCATTTTCAAGGTGCATTTTCAAGCTTTTCAAGCATCTTACAGCTGTTGTAAATTACATATTTATATACACATACTTATACTCAAATGATTATTTCCCTACCTCACATTAAATCAAATGTTCTTTATGCTATAAACAACCAAATGTGTGTTTCGTAATAG